GGGGGGGGGAGGTGCATACTCGCCTTCGGAAGAAACTTGCCGCGTTAGGAAAAGGTTTTTTTGTTGTCGGCTTTTCGTGTTTTCTGCTTTTCACGTGGGCTATAAACTAAAATTTTCGGGAAAAAACCGGGAAGTCATCGAGAAATGTCGTTAGAAGTGATGTTATAAAAGTCGGCAAGTTAATCAGGAAGTTGGGGAAGATGGGAGGGGGTTCGCAGCAGAGGACGAAGCTGCGGGGTTCAGTATTTTCCAAAAATTTTGCACCGCTCGAGGACACGCCCTGATCAGTTGCGGCTCCCAAGCTTCGAGTTGAACAACGGCGTTTGCATGATTCTTTTGATATGACCCTTTCTAATCCTGTCTAGTAACTTCTAGTCGTAGCCTTACCACACCATCCCTCCGTGGTGAGAACTGGGGAAAGGCTGTTAATGCGGTGACCGGTTGAAGTGAAGCGTACACTTTCTGGCGCGCCTCTGAAAAATGATTACGAATACGTCTCCCATATATGCCGCGGACCAATGCAAACGTTTCCGAGATCTTCTAGAGGGAGAATAACGGTATTCACCTCAATTCTTAGCCGCAGGGCTGTTTCGAGGGCAGCGTCATAGTTTAGCGGTAATATACCTTTTCATTTTGAATTGGACACTTTTTCAAAACCAAACCAGACACTTTGCGAGTCGAATCGGACACACTTTGTCAACTAGACCACACTAGATGCCGCTACAAGTCCCGCCCAATACACCCAATTTTCAGCGCGGTATAGTTTTTTTCCAGAATTCATTCTAAGAACTCTGTTCTTCTGACTTTTTTTGCACGGTTGCTATGTCGCGCATATACTATAACTGAAAATATTGATATCAACACAGATGCAACTCCGCTCACTTTATAATGAAATTATGGCAAGGCCACATTTCTTTTCCGTAAAGAGTGTACCCATAGATATGCATCTGTACAGAGGCGAACCTGGCTCCCTCTCCCCTCCCACTACTACGCCCACTTTTGCGTCTTTTTGCGGATTTCTCATCTTTTTTTGGGGATTTTCGCCTTTTTAGGCTGTAACATGTAGCCCCGCTCTTTGCCAGAAGCTCCACTCACTTTTGAAGAGTGATTAAGGGTGGTGTGCTGAAGTTCACCTAGTAGTGAGAGTGTCCTAGTAACCTGATACTAGAAACCATCGGTAGTTTTGTTCCATGTGACGAGGGGAGACCGTACCCTGCCAGTTCATGCTCTACCCCGTCGATCTGAACCGTTGAAAGCAAAAATCGACGGAGCTGATGTAAATAAACGGGGCTATCCATTTCAGCTAATTAGGAGAGAATTTCGGATGGAACACAGAAATTCCGCAAATCTTGTGGAAGATGAATGTGAAAAGGCCTACGCCTCGAAAAGTTATGAAAATTCAAACTAGCGATATCTCCATGGGAAAGTGGGCGGAGTCGCATCTATGTCGATAGCGATTCTTTTCAGTAGGGGTGTGCGAAATAGCAAAAGTGCAAAGAAGTCAGAGGAACAGAAAAATCATAAATGGTTTTGAAGCGTTACGGCGGCGCTAAATACGTGGCGAAGAATCGGGGCAGGGCTTGCTGGGCACGTACCCTTGCGGTCTAATTGTCGATTGCTCAGAGTTAGCGGTGTGTCCGACCCGATTTGAATTTTCCGATTTGCTTTGGAAATGTCCGATTTGGTTCGTAAAATGTCCGACTTGCTACGTCTGTCTCGTTTAATTACTTGCTTAATTGTCCAAGAAGTTGAAAACAACTTGAAGAGGAGGTTAGGGTTCAAGCTCGGTTAGTAAGCATCGGACAAAGGATAAACAGCACGCATGATCCATGCCAACCCCCGCCTATAGTGGGTGGGGCCTGCGCCAGTTGGCGGTGTCACTGGAAAAATTCATAATTCGGCCCCAGAGCAGGTCCGCTAGAGTTAAGCGTGTCTGCGGTTTGTTAAGACCGGCCCACACTGGACGGAGCGTGCCCCAAGCACGAGGTAACCTCGTCATCCGGGCAGTTGATTAGGGCGGTCGTCAACGGGCCGCAGCGCGTGCCAGGAACTATTTGCTTTTCCAGGCTAATTTAGTCATTTTTTCCACCTTGTGAAGATAAGGAGCTGCTAATCTGGGAAAAAGTAGCCAAAACAGTGAAAAGTTGGAAAAAATGACTAAATTAGCCTGGAAAAAGCAAATAGTTCCTGGCACGCGCTGCGGCCCGTTGACGACCGCCCTAATCAACTGCCCGGATGACGAGTGTACCTATTTTGACTCAGTGCATAGGCAGCCTTACTATTGACCACCGGTCATGTAGGTACATTTGATATTCCGATTATAATTTGATGCAACTCATTCGGAGCAGCTTTATGGCCAGAATTCGTTCCAAATGTGGATATGCTCTTTCTGAAGCCCTCTGTACCCAGGATCCGCAGCAGATGTTAAAGACAGACTCTTCGTGAACGCCCAGAAACACATCGGAAGGTACACATCTCAAACATTTTGTTTCTCAGCCCAACTGCTAACGTATGTATAAAAATATGTAGAACAGTCACTACTTTTTGCAACCGCGAAATACGTTTGTGAATAAACTCCTAGGTGATTTCTTGTAAAGGCAGTTTGCAATGTTTAGAGCTCCAATCACGGCAACCTCTTACTCAGTCAGCTCGCAGAGCTCCACAACGATTCTCAGTTTTGTGATGTGACCCTGAAAGTCGAGGTATGAAAACTGAGATGTTGGATGATTTCTTTCACATAATCATTAGAGAAATAGTTTAGGGGACTCGAATCAATGCTCATCGAGTTGTACTCTCTGCTTCCTCCAGATATTTCAAAGCTATGTTCACAAGCGATATGGCTGAAAGCCGTATGAGTGTGTTTGTCAAGACTGTAGTATCGTCCAAAAGAATTCGCCGAAATGGTTTCCCATGTGGTTACTGCCATATCGGTGGTTTCGAACGTTCAGGAACGAATCGTAACACTTATTTTTAATGATTTTCGCAAAACAACCTCCTTGGCCAAGGTTTTGAAAACCTGTGGATTACATTCGACATCTATTCGCTAGGATGAATGCATTTTTCCCTAATCCGGAGGTGATCCAAGCGCTCATATTTATCAATCTGAAATTATGAAATATATGAATATAAATATATACATAAAATATGTGAACGAAATCAAGACCAGACCAATCATCGCATCATGTGTTGGTCCAGCCGACAGGCTAAGTTGGCTTCTGGTGAAACTTCTTCACCACTGTTGCGGTATGTGGGAGCTCACATTGTCAACGTTGATGAGTTTATTACTTCCCTTCACCAATGCTCAGTCCAGACATCGGCCTTCTACGCTAGCTTCGATGTAGTTTCCTTATATACGAATGTGAATAATGCGGACGCAGTGCAAGCTGTATTATCCCTTCTTGAGGAGCATCAAAACCACATCTCCCTGATGGGATTTTCCGCACACGAAGTAAGGGAACTCATTGAAGCGGCACTGGAATGCAACATTTTCTGCTTCAACAACAAGATCTACAAGCAGAAACGAGGCTTAGCCATGGGCAACCGTATAGCACCGGTGTTAGCAGTCATCTTCTTGGACCACATCGAGAGGTCATCACTAGCGCGTGGAATAATATTCTACAAACGCTATATAGATGACGTTTTTGTTATTGGGAAGACAGAGGAAGATCTAGTGGAAACCTTGGAGAGACTGAACTCGCATGATAGAAACATAACCTTCATTAGAGAATACAAAAGTTCGAATATGTGAAGGTCGCAAGGAACACCTGTGGTATAAGAAAAGTGCCTCGTCCAATACACTCTTGCATTCCAGAAGTGCCCACCCGATTTATATGAAGGCGAACGTCGTGCGAAATCTGGTCAAAACGAAGGAGAAGCTCGGGACGCGAAGGGATCCAGATGTGGATGCTAAGGTCAAAAACATCCTTGGAAGTAATGGTTATCTCGAAGTACCTTCCAGGACCTGGCTTCCACATAGATCAGCAGATGGAATAACCCTCATAATGCCTTTTGTCAACGACAAAATGGCACGTGAGGTGAATCGCGTAGTGAAGACCTCCCAGCTTCCCATACGACTGGTTTTCCGTCCTCCCCCCACACTGAAAGCCCTCCTGACATCTTCAAGAATCTATGAAAGCCGGTGTCACGAAGAATCTTGCCGATACTGTACATCTGAAAAGATTTGTGAACTCCAAGGCACCGTCTACTTGATACAGTGCAGAGGATGTGGAGAGAAATATGTCGGGGAGACCGCACGACCGTTGAAGAATCGTCTAGACGAGCACAGAAGAGCGCTGACCAACCCCGCTGCTTACCCACGAAGCAGTTTCTCGCGGCACCGTACACTTAGGCACGCGGATGATAATGCTCCGTCCTTCGACGTGAGTGTACTGCACAGACACTTGGTACGACCGCTGGAAAGGAAGATAATGGAAGCGCGGGAGATACATCGCTTAAAGCCAGAAATTAATGCAAAAGAGGAGCTACGTGACCTCCTGAGGCTCATCGCCTAATCATTGACCCACCCATGTGCCTCAATGTAATGTCAGCGCGGGTCATTTTATGTCCCTGCGTTTTTGCAGCTGTTATATGTTAAGCACTGTAATTTAAGGCCTGACGAAGGCATTACGTGCCGAAAGCTCGCCAATAAACGTGTTAACCAAGTGAAGAGCTTCAAATACACACTGGATGAAGCTCAAAGATAGCACTATCTTATCAGACGGTAAACTGTTGAATGAATACTGAGGCACTGGGACAGGAGCAAGTACAAGAAGTTTGACGGAGATACCACTGAAAATGGAGAGTTGGATTGAGCTCAGTAAGACCTTGACTGAATACCATACAGCAGCGGATACGTCATCTCCATTCGTAAAGCATGATCGCCGCTGAAGTCATGTCTCACCTTTCTGAGGACAACAGAAAAACGGGTGAAAGGACGGTGCTGGAGCCGTTTGGTGTTGACTGGAAGTGACAGTAAGCTAACCGCATGCTAACTGCGCTTGATGCTGTCTTCTAAGAGTTATTAGGTTTCCCGGCCAGAGATGTCACCCCCGCCATACTGATAGTTCTTCCAGTGTCTAGCGAGCTGATGCAAGTGATCCAACGGTTTTACTAAGCGGTGGCCAAAGCCGTGGTTGCGCGGAGATTACTGGAAATGAATATTACGGCCCGGTTCTGAACCTTCAAGGCCGTCAGCATGGCCCTCTTCGCGGCTGCTTATCTATGCCAGCCTTTTCGATTCCTTGAAGACTGTTTTCCTCTGAGTCCCCAAGAAGGTCTTTCAGTTCTGACTCTCAGGAAGGGCGTTGGAAACCTCCTCAGAGTCAAAAAGTTTCGACTCTTGTTGTATCCCCGCTGCCAAATAATTACATCGCAATTTGTTGTTGGTAATGTGAGCACTACTCACCTTATTTGACACAAGTACTGCTTTCTACTTGCAACATAAAAATGTACAC